GGGATTGAGCTCAGGTCTTTGTGCTTGACAGGAAAGCACTTACTCCACTGAGCCATCTCCCAGGCCCTAATAAATCATATTTTATGGAATTTAATTGGGGCCTCCGACTAATGTAAAAATTGTGATTTAACCCCAATTTCACATTAGTTTTTGTTGTCGTTATTGTTTGAGACGTCTTTCCCCATAATTTATACTGGCCTTGAACTCACTTATAGGACCCAGTTTGGCCGTGAATTTAGTGGCAGTCCACCTACCTTAACCTCTTCCATGCTGAGATTATAGTGGCTTTAAACTTCTGATAAACCATTTACAAATGATACCTTACTAAATTTTATTTCTTCCACCCAGGAAGTTAGTGACACTAATTCTTTCATCTGTTCTCTGTTTATCCTTTCTTCAATCCATTTTTAATAGTCTTTTTTTATGTCATGTGTGCTGTCTCCTGCTGTTTCATCAGCACCTATTATTCTTGTATTATTTTTCTTTCTGTCATCTTGTAGCTGCTGAATTGTTATTTCTTGGTTCCTTGTTAGTTTTTTTGTTTTTTTGTTTTTGTTTTTGTTTTTTTTGGCGGAACCAGGGATTGAACTCAGGCCCTTGAGCTTGCGAGGGAAGCGCTTATTCCACTGAGCCATCTCCCCGGCCTCTTCAATCCATTTTTATTGTTTTTTCTCTGTCCAGCTTTTGCCCAGGATGCTGACCATCTCTGGACTGTCTCTCCAGGCCAATTAGAAGGCCTGGTGGAGCCAGGGAGATGGCACAGCAGAATTTGCCTGGCAAGTGCAAGGTCCTGAGTTCATCCCTGGTACCAAAAAAGAGGAGGAGGAGGAGGAGGCCTGATAAAAATCAAAGGACAGGAGAGAAATTAGGGTTGACTTCCCCTCTTGCTTCAATACCTTGTGTTTGGAGGAAGCATTGTCTTTCTTAAATACAGTCTCTGTGCATGCAGCAGCCTGTCCCTTCTCAGTTCTAGCTGTCTTCTGAGTTCCAGTAACTGTCCCTCCACCCCCATTGTTCTGGCCCTTTAGATTTAGGCTTCCCCTGCTCTCCATCCCTGGATGCCTTGCCATTACTTGTTTGTTCCTTTTATTATGCCTTCGTATGTAGTCACTTCATAAAGGAATGTTTTCTCCAACCTCTGACTAGCACAGGGGCCAGTGTGTGGGGCCATTTGGCTAGTATTGAATCAGTAAGAAGATAACTCAGAAGATTGTGACTTAGTGCCAGTAATGCCCACTGCTATGGCAGGGAGCTGTAGAATTTTAGGAGGCAAAGCCATTATATTCTTAGAAAGATTCTGTATCTATGTAATAGAACACTGGGCATGGTAGCACATACCACCCAACACTAAGGAGCCTGTGGCAGGATTACCATGAGCTTCAGGCCAGCCTGAGTTAAGTAGTGAATTTAAGGTTGGCCAGGCTTGAATATATGGTGAGATGCTATTTTAAAAAGAACTGCTACTATTTTAGGAAAGACTATCTACACTAAACTAGAGAGAAGACTGATAGGAATTCTGAATTCTGGCTTTTGTTTACTTAGGAAATAATCAGTTTGGTTTGTTTTTTTCTCCCTCTTATATTGCATGAAGATGAACTAAAACCCTGTTTTTGGAAGCGACTGGGTTGGTCTGAACCATCAAGGTAATTAGATATACATGTGTAGTTCAGTTTCCTTTTTAGAGAGTAAAGTGCATTTGAAACATAAGTGTGAATAAAAACAACGGGAAAAGACTTGAATTTCTTGCTCAATTTATAGCAATATGTTTATTATAGTAAATTAAAATATGAAATGAATGCCAGCTTTGATTAAATCAAAATCTGCATAAAAACAATTCATGTGCAGGAGTACAGAAGGCACTGCTGTCAGTTGCTTTGTCTTGCATTTCCATGCTTCACTGACCATATTATCCTCTCCCTTGAGTATAAAGACCAGAATCCCTTTCTTTTTCATTCTGTTGAATAGAAAGGATATTTGCATCTTTCAAAAATGTACACACTGGGGCCAGGGAGATAGCTCAGTAGAATAAAGCACTTGCCTGGAAAGAGCAAGATCCTGAGTTCAATCCCTGGTACTGCAAAAAAAAAAAAAAAAAAAAAAAAAACTACACACGATGGGGCTGGGGAGATGGCTCAGTAGAATAAGCACTTACTTGCCTGGCAAGCACAAGGGCC